TTGGGGCTGCTTCCATAGCAGAGCGCATCGGAGCGCTCGGAGCTGAAACATGGGTTCACAGTCCCTGAATCTGCTAAAAATGTGCTTTTGCTGCCTGACAGTACTCGATGAGTGGGTTGTCTTTCCTGGGGGTGTGACTGCTAAAGCAGCTTGTTTGTTTGCGAGGGGGGGCGGAACACAAGAGAGGAACAGGATAATTTATTTGCTACCAAAGTTACCGTTATTAAAACTAAGTTAGTGTGAGAGGTGAATTCTAAAGCTTGGCGGGGGGGGGGGGGGGGGGTGGGTAGTTGGTTTGTTGAGGTTTTTTTCCACTTCAATAGCGCGTTTCAGAGCTTTGAAGTGACCTTAACACTTTGAAAATTTTGTGTGACTCCATTCCAACTTGATGTCATCAGACCATCCCGCTGGAAACTTAATTGTACTCAAAATCCTACTTCATCTGGGCTGCACAATCTAACTCATAAATTTATTCATGATAACAGAAGACAGCACTGCTGCTCTGCTGTACGCAAGAGGAGATACAGCTACTCGGCAGCAGCCTGGGGAATGTTCTTTCTACCACTCCAAATTTTGTATCCAGAGTGGATCATGCCACAGATTTTTCTCATCTGTGGTGTTGGTAGGGCTTTTGTTTTGTGGAGTCCCCCCCAAATCTGAGACTGTGTGAGGTTTATGTATGCCTGAGAGCATACTGTAATCGGTGTCAGTGCAACATCAATCAGATCAGATTAAGTCAGGGTTTAAACATACGTAGGCAAGAAACGTTGACACACGCGCACCCCATTCCTCTCCCTTACGAGGGTACCTGCAGCTAGCTGTTGGTGCCCTTCTCCTGGAGGCAGCTGCAGGAGAACTGGCAGCACTGGAACATGGAAAAGCTTCAGTACAAAGTCTTGTTGCTGGGACTGAGCTGTAGCAGGAGGGGGTTGAGTTAAGCTGTTGCACATTGCATTGAAGCAGTTGAGGAGTTACTCGCATACCCTCGCCATTTCCCTCCTGGGAGGTGCAGCCTTTGCAGTAGAGGTAGTACAACAGAAATGGTAAAAGCTGAAATCTAGCCGATTGCCCAATGAAAAGATGTTAAATTTTAAATTATTATACTAATATTGCGCAGAACCAAATTATTTCTTAGTTCTTCTGTAACAGAACAACTGGATTTGTTCTGTGAAAAGGGATGCTGAAACTTTGGGAACAGAAGGAAAAGGGGAGAAATCCTTTGAAACTTCCATTATAAATTGAGAATATCAGCTATATTAATCTGATACCAATTCAAACTAAATAGTGGTTTTAATAAAATTACATGCTGCTGTCCATCTAGGAGCTGAAGCTGCCCTCCTACAAAGGCCAATCTCCCCAGTTACATCTGAGAAGATACTTTGCAGATCTGATTGCCATTGTGAGCAATCGGTTCAGACTCTGTCCTGCTGCACGACATCTAGCTGTGTATCTGTTGGACCTCTTCATGGATCGCTATGACATATCTATACAGCAGCTGCATGTGGTTGCTCTTTCCTGTTTACTTTTAGCAAGTAAGTATGTAGCACCAAACGTTAACTAGAGCAGTATAGGTTCTGCTGCCAAATACAAGGTGTGTCTGATGGGATACAGCAGATAGGGGAAACAAAATGGTTACAAAAGACAGGCAGATTAGTGTATATCAGTTTGGTCCAATTGGTAGAGCCTTTCTTTAGGCTCTTGTTTTGACTTCTGCTGGCACCTGATGAAACTGAGCAGAGAAAAAACAAACTGTGATTAAAAACCAATGTTTATGCTTGGAAACAAATTATTCTCAGGTGAACTTTCAAAGCTGTAATGCAGGAATAGAAAGACTGTCTTTCTGAGGACATCTCAAAATAGGCAGACCCAGTGCTGGAAATGAGAAATTTGCATATCTGTGATAAAGGAAGAAATTAAATAAACCATATGTAGACTGTACTGCACCCTGCTCATGGTGCTGTGTGGTTCTGGAATACTTTAGATTTCATAAATTGCAGTGTTCTTTAAGCAAGCTAAGGCTAACGTACATCCTGTATTGTCACATGCAAAGAGTAACGGTAAAATACATGGTGAATGCACAGTACTCTGAAGACAGAATTAATTATAAACACTCATTATGAATAGTGCTGCTTAAATTGACCTTGGTGAGATTCTTGCGGTGTGTATCCGTCTTTTGACATTTGTGGACCTCTTTTATATCTCCCCAAAGAGCTATGGGTGTAGTTTGCTGGGATGCCTGCTGGCAGTTGTTCTTAAACCAACAGATTCAGAGAAATAGATCCTGGCAGCTGAACTAACTGTTGGTTAGTTTCTGCTGATCTGTTTCTCTGAATCCATTTTCATTTTCTCACATAAGATATATCACATTGTAGAGGGCTCTAGGCCCTCTTTGTTAGAAAACCAGAGCACTGAGGTGTTGGCTGTTTTTGGTGTGCTGCTTTCCTTCACTGCATCACCAGTCTTCACCAATACAGCTATTCAGCAGAACAATTAAACAAGAAAAGTGTTATTTCAGATTCTTCTGGAGGTAAACTTTGACTGGATGCCACCAGCCAGCAATCTCCTCTTGGCAAAGGATGTGGTGCGGAGTATGAAAACCTCGCCTCAGAAACAATGTAATCCATTTAGGAAAATGGATCGGCTTTGAACTAATACCAGATTTTCATATTAAATTCATGTTCTGAAGGAATTATAATATTTCTAAAAAAAAAAAAACAAACCTCTGCCATCTTTCATAATAAGCTGCAGCAAGAGCTCTGAAAGCCTGGAGTACTTGTTCTTCTGAGAAGCAGTGTATGAACTGGTTCAGAAAACACAAACCAGAATGCTATTTTAAACTTTTGCCCCGTGTGGCTAAAACAAGCTGTTTAATCAGCAGTGCAATAAGTTGGACAAATCACACTGTGATACATCCGATAAGGTTAAAGAAGTAATAAGAGAAATTATTATGTGACTCCTGAAGCTTGTATCTCTGTAATTACTAGAGTATGGGAAACAAAAACTAACGAGGCTGGGACTGGTGTTGGATTAAGTCCTGTATAAGTACCTCCACTTTTGGAAAAAAGCAAACGTTCAGTATGTTCAGTCCTGCAAAACTCTCTAAAAATGTGCATTTACAACATATTGTGTAGTACTGAATAAAGAGTGTAAGATGGAAAGAATTTGCAATGAAATTGAAATAGCACAACCATATGGCAAACTGTATGGAAATGTGACACTTATTTCTCTTATTAATGGGTTTTCTACATACCCGATTTTGCTTCAGGCTAAAAGCATACAGGCCTGACAAGCTGAAGTCCAAGGATAGGTGAAGCTACTAGCAGCGTTAAAGTTGAAACAGTACATATGGCAGTGTGGGTTTTCAGATGCACATTGCTGAAATCCACTTGTTTGAAATGCTGGAGCAGCTTACCAGCTATCAAATCTAAAAAGGTACCTACCAGAACAGGCATTGAAACAGCCACGTTGGCTAGAGCTCTAGCTATACTCCGGTGAGTTTTAGAAACAAAAAGGGTGTGTGGGGGTGGGAGGGTGATTAAAGCCAAGTGCTGTGGTGTTGTGTACGCCAAGTCACATCACAGTGGTATTTCACTGATGATGGGGACACATTATACAATAACTGGGTGACAAAAGCTTGCATATGCAATGCCAGTGGTGTCCTAATACAGCTTGCTTCTGTGTGCCGGAGTGGGAAAACCAACAGGAAACATGGCACTGCACAGTACCGTACACAGTGTTTGACTTAATCTGCTGGAATTTAGCCCTTTATAGTACATAAGCCTTGAGCTTTGCATCTGCAGGAAAGTCTCAAGCTTGTTTGACACAGTAGAATTAAAATATGACCAACACAGACATTAGCTACAATCTGTTTTATAGTTCGCTTGTGCTGACCTTTTTTTTTCTCTTTTTCTGTTCACCTGAAGGTAAATTTGAAGAAAAGGAAGACAGTGTTCCCAAACTTGAACAGCTGAACAGCTTGGGTTGTATGACTAACATGAATTTGGTACTAACAAAACAGAATTTGCTTCATATGGAGTTGTTGTTGCTAGAAACATTTCAGTGGAATTTGTGCCTCCCAACTGCTGCTCATTTCATCGACTATTATCTTTCTATTGCTGTCCATGAGACTGATCTTCATGATGGCTGGCCAATGGTTTGCTTAGAGAAGACGAAGTTATATATGGCAAAATATGCTGATTATTTTCTGGAAGTATCATTGCAAGGTGAGTTATGGATTTCAGGTAATGACTTCTTTATTGTCTTGATAGACAATGTCCACCTTAAATTAATCTTTTTCTTATTCCTCCTTTTTAGATCATGCATTTTTAAATTATGCTCCTTCTTTAGTTGCTACTGCATGTGTAGCTTCTTCAAGGATTATCTTGCGTCTCTCACCAACGTGGCCTACTCGACTACATCATCTTACTGCATACTCCTGGGATTTCCTGGTGCCGTGTATTGAGCGACTATTAATGTAAGTTAACAGCAGCTATTTTTAAGCTATTTCTGCATCTGTTTGTATACTTAATTGTTGTTAGCACTAAAAGTAAATTTCTTCTTGAATTTCAGTTTTTCTATTCTAAAAATACTTGGGTATTAGGTAATATTGTTAGGTAATAACTATTTTGTTCTTTCCAAAAAATAAAACCTTATTAGATCTAACATCTTTCCTGTTCTTCCAACAAACCTCAGGTTTGCATGTCCACTGAACATCTTTTTGCATGGTTTGAGAATCTGTTTAATAACTTATTCCCAATCTCTGTAGTCTGCTACTAGAGGAAAAAGAGGTAGTAAAGAGTACCGAAGGCATAGGAGGTCCTACTTACTCTGAAGACTCCATGCCTTGGAAGTTCAAGGGATGCTCCAAACAGATTATGGATCAAACATGCAGACTGTTTCAGTGGCCAACGCTGGGGGGAGGAAATGATCAGGAGGTTGTATCCATTTTTCCTGTATCCATTTTTGCACTAACAGCTGACATGAGATGAAAATACCAACACAGGCCAAGTGAACCTTACTGGGAAGGGATGTTACCCAATCAGTTCTTTTATTCTAAACCTTAAGATCAAAACCTATTCCCACCATAACCGCTTTCCGCCTTCAGAAGTTTGCTCTTGCCCAGATCTAAATACAGTTGTGCTTGGTAGAAGCACAGGAGCAGCTGTATTTGGAAGAATCACATGTTCCTTGTAAGTGTGACATTATGACCCCTGATGGCCTCCCTTGGATTCATTAATATGTGTAATGAAAGGGATAGTACTTAAAGCATCCAAGTGCTGCTGCAGAAATGTTTTCAGTATTGCTGTGGAACACTGGGAGTGGTGGGACAACGACAACGAAGCCTTTCAGTCATCTTTGCAGTGCACCATAAAAAGTTAGTAGTCTTCTAGGAAAAACTGGTGAGGGGTTGAATCCCAGCTGTCTTGAAGTGATCTGCCTTGTATAGGCAATACCAAAAAAACTTAGATGGGCCTGACTGAAGTGTGTGAGCGGCCTTAACCACAGCATAAGAGCAAGAGAAAGAGTATGTCTAAATACATTTGAGGCAGGTGTAAATCAAAGGGAATTCAGGTGAGCTAAACTGTCTGGCTTAAGTACTGGGTGGGCTAGAAAACAGGTGATAGGAAAAAAAAAAAATGCATTTCCACTCCCCAAAGCAGGATCCAATACAAATATACATATGATCTTGAAGTACAGTAATGTAGATCTTTAAAAACCCTCCGATATAATGTATTTGAAAACCCTATACTCTGTTACCCAATTTAAATGAGGTAGAACTATCAGCTAAGTTTTAATTTCACGTTCTGGCAATCTGGCACTTTATTGCAGTACACTAGCACACCTTTAATTTTAGATACTGTTGTATTATTTGTATTGTACTTGGCTTTTTATCTGCATTTTGTGTTACAATGAAATGAAATGCTGAAAAGAAACTATATCCTAAAGAAACAAATGTAAAAACCTTAGATGTCTTTAAAGGGTAGGCTAAAATGATTTTTTTCTTTCTATTTTTTAAAAGCTTTGAAAGCTTTCAGATAATTGCACCATTTGTTAGAGTTCTCCTAGAAGTTAACCCAAAAGAGTTTAAATTCATTTAATACCTGTTCTCACGTATTCTGTCTTCTCAATTTGTTTTAGTGCGCATGATAACGATGTGAAGGAAGCAAACAAGCAAAAAGGACATTCTCAGTCTGCCCAACATACTGTATTTCAGACCCCAGCTCCAACTCCCCAGCAGGCTCATGCTCAACAGCACATACCGCAGTATCTCCAAGCTCATCAGTCTTCGTTACAGTATCACCATCAGACATCACAGCAGCAAAACTGTCAACAGATACTATCATCTAACCATACAGCGTCTTACCCACTTCAGACTTGCCCTGCTGCCTTACAGTCTAGTGTTCAGGCTCGAGGCCATGTACAGACTGGTGCTGCGATGCCACTAGCTGTTCCGCTAGAAGTGAAGCCATGTGTAAGTGTCTCCTACAACCGGAGTTACCAAGTGAATGGACGATATTCCTGTATTACTCCCTGCTTTGAGAGGTGATAAGTACAAAATGGTTTTGTGCTTGTTTGTTTGGGGTGGGAAGTTGTGTTGAGGGGATTGTTTTGTTTTTTTGTAAAACCTCAAATAAGTTTGAGGGCAACAACTGAATCAAAAAAGTGTCTTTCCAGGAAAAGAACAACTGGATTGGCAACAGTACCATAGCTCAAATACAGACTGCAAAAAATAAGCACACAGAACACCCTCTTAAAAAAAATGTGTATACCTGGGGGTAGCAAGTTCTTACTCTGGCACTCAGAATACTCTGTGCTTCTAAGGCACATCTTTGAAATGCTAGTCAAGAGAAAAATAGCTGTGGACTAACTACAGACTTACCTTTTAATGAAGGAGATATGCAGTATTATTTTGAAGACATTTATGTAATACCACCGTACAGTATTAACACTTACTTTAAATTTATTGAAACTTAAGACTCCATTGAATGCCAGACTTCTCCAGATACATGGGGAGCACAGGAAGAAACAGCTCTCATCTGGATAACTCCATACTCTTGCCCCTTTTTCAGCACTTGTGTTGGGTATTTGCTTTAGGCTAAGGCATTTGAGTTAACTGGTATTTTGGCTAGATTTTTAAGTTTTGTACCTCACAAGATAGACACTATGTTTTTGTTTCTTTCACTTCCCCATCTTGTTTATGTTTAAAGTAACTCATACTAACTCAGGGAATTTTCTGCTCACTACTGTGTGCTGCTGGTTTGTACACTTAATTGGGTATAACTTGAGGGATGAAGGTAGAGAGGGAAAAGACTATGGCAAGTGGAGTGGCTTTCCTTCAGGGTATCTATATGTGGAGTACCAAAGGGATACGTTAGTGTTCACAGAATGTAGATGTGAACTACTGCCCAGCTGCGTGGTATTGAGTAATTGAAGAAAAGAGGAAGTTTCAGCTGAACTTGTACTGTACCAGAACTACGACAGTGGCTGTGATTCCTCTGTGTACACACACACAAACACACAGGTATTATTAACCAACAGAAAGCACCCTCCAGTTGTACTGACAGTATCACTCGTACAAAAACAGTACAGTTAAATGCTTAAAGAAATCCAGTTCTGTCAGGCTTACAGTGGAGGGAAATACTCAGGAAATAGTGGGGCAACTTTTTCTTCTACTATTTGGGAGTTCCAGAAGAAAAGGCCGAGATTTACTCTTCTGAATGGGTGGATCAAAAATATATTGCAGAGTGAACTGCTTTATCACAATTATGGTGCTAATTACATAACATTATGGAATTACACTGTCTCCTGTGGAGCGGATAGTCTGATGGTAGAAAGCTTCACTCATCCAACTCTTGGATGAAAACGGTGGTGGAGATATTAATGGCAGATTTTTTTTTTTTTAATACAAGAAGATACCTGACTTTCCTCTGTGGTAGAATATGGGAGGAAGAAGTATGGATGACAGGATTCTTACTACTTTAAAATATCTTTATAGTATGTGGGTTTAAGGCTTTGTTTGTTTTATTGTTCTTTTACCACCTTCTCCTCCCCTGTCTTAGTGGCAGAACTTAAAATTGTGTACCATCTAATGACACTGAAGTATTCTGAATCTTACAGAGGCTGTTTTGAAAGTAGGGGCAATTAAAATACATTATCAATATTAAAATGAAAGCTTTATCACAGGAGAAGGGGGCCTTACCATAATGTTCAGAATCAAGAGAGGACAGCTGTGTTCATTCTTTCTGGGGCTGAATGATAGCATGCTACAAAAAACTATTTTTGAGGAGAAGAAATCCTGTTTCTCTTGGGTTTTTTTGCATAATTCCCCCCCCCCTTTTTTTTTTGGTGGGCTTTTGTAGCGTATATGTACTAAGAGAGACAGGAGGGTGAATGAAAGAGATGACCCTCTCTCTGCTCTATGCTAGAGAATCAACTTTGAAATAGGCATAGTGTGGTCAATTCTTAATTAAAGTGCAAGTTGGTTTGGTTTTGGGTTTTTTTCCTTCCTTTCTTCATCTTATAATGAATATTTCCTCATGACTGAGAGTAGTGTTAAGTAGAGACTTTCCACCTCAGAAGATGCTATCCTTTTTACTCAGCGTTGTTACCCACTTAAGAGGGAAATAGACTTCCTTCTGCCAGTTCAGTTTTGTTGCAATGCTATGTCCAAGTCCTCAGTGCTCTAACTACCTCTGATGCTATGAATGTACAGTCTTGTAATAGACCATGACTTGAAATAACAGCAGATGCCTGTAGCGTTTTTTTTCTGTAAAATCCTTAAATTGGCTAACTTGTCATCTTTATTTGTGACACAGCAGTATAGGCTCTTCTTTTTGGGGGTATTAGTAAATTTATCCCATAGGTATTTGATACATAAAAATGTAACTAATACTTAACACTGGAATTATAATGGGCGGGGGGGCTTACTGAGTTAGTTAATACTGCAAATTTACATTTAATAGGGTGTTTTTTATTTGACTATCTTAAGACACTAGGTCAACTGTAAAAAGATCCACTACATGCTGTTTATTTTTAATTTATTACTTAGTCTGAGTGTTTTTCTGACACTACAGCTGCATAATGACTATAGAGAAAATGTACACTGAACAGTTTCAATATATTATTTAAAAGGGCTTTACCAGTGTACATTAAAAATACACTGTTCTTACTATTAGAACCAAAATGTGTTTTTTATGGCATAAATAAGAATGGTGCTCCTAAATGCAAAATGTCCAAAACAATGGAATCTTTGTGAGTGCTATGCATTCAACTTATTTTTAAAAATAAAACTAGTTTTGAGTAAGAAGCCTCCAGTGTATACTATGCTTTTGTGTGTGTGTTTTAAATATGTGAACTGACCCTAATCTGTCTTGCATCATCCCTGTGTATGGGCTGAAGATGTAAGGACTTTCTTCTTTCTCCCCACCCTTTCTGTGACAAGCTTCAGGAACACTCTGACTTTACAATTAAAAACAAAACAAAACAAAAAAAAACACCAGGAAGGAAATCATGCAGGAAGGGGCTTTAAAACTAACTGCACCCACAGCATATGCTAAGCATTGTACACTTTAGCACTGTCATTGTACACTTTAGCACAGCTGTAACAAAGAAATCAAGAACAAAAGAACTGTAGTAGTTCAAGAGCAGGGGCGTGAATTCATTTTGTTCTCACTTAAAAAAAGCAGTGATACTGGCAATCTCTTACTTCTAATACTAGAAACAATTTAGGAGAAGATGTGGGAATAGCCTTTTATCAACAGCTACACATACTTAGGTTATTTACAATAGCTGTGAAGTCTCAATCTTGTTAAAAGCAGCATAAAATCACGTGATGCATCCTAGCAAGAAATATATTTGGATGCTTAAAATTTCTTCCTAATAATGTGCACATTACATACTTGTAACAAGGCTATGTGATTATGGGTAGAGCTCCAAAAATTAAGCAGGTTGCATAAATTTAATTCCTCTCAAGTTAAACAATGAAATTCTGAGGTCTCTGTTAGCTTACACCCATCCATTTAGGAATAAACTCTGATTGTGAAAACCCTTCTAAAGGGCCAGAGACAGATGGAGAAGAGCAAGCTCTGCTCTGTTGGTGGCACTAAGGGAATGAGGGCAATGCTCTGTTAGGGTGGTGGCATGCATACTACATGGATAGTTTGATCTGTAAAGTTTTGTCCTCACCCTTGGGGCAGCAAAAGTCAAGTCTGTCTAGACTGTCTCCTTGAAATCTCAAATTTTTATATTTTTTACTGTAATTGCAAAATAGGAACTACCCATGACCTTTATGAATCTCTAACAACTAAAAGAACTGCCAGCTACTTTTCATTTCAATATTTCAGTAAAAGTCTCAACTTCAGATTTCAAATTGCAAGTCTGAGGCTTTTTTATGTTTGTATGCAACACAAAAAGCTTTATCTCTGCTTCTCACAACCCAGGTTCATTAGCTAGATTAAATATGAGGATATTTATATTCTTCCAGCACTGCAAATTTAGCTTAAAAGATTAAATTTTAACTGGCATATCGCCAATAATAAAGATTTTTTTGCAACTGTAATACTGCTGTTAAGAATACATAAACCAGAAAGTAATGTAGCATCCCCCATGAATAATTTATTAGCTCTACATGCTGAATGTTCACAGGAACAGAAGCCTCTTGAGTAGATAAGGCCTTATCTGACTAAACACAAGTGCACTTTTTAATAAAAGGTTGTCAACCACCAAGTGGTTATTTTTAGTCCCCATTACAATGATATTTTAGAAGTTACGGCACAAGCCCTATAGACATGCATTCTGACAAAGGAAAGCATTTGCTACAAAATATTTAAAAAAACCCCAACCCAATTTATAATGGAATAATTGAAAAGTTGGAAGGATTACTTAAGAAAAAGAATTGTTACATATCTTTATCAATAACTGCTCTCTAGTTAAAACCTTTTCATACATAAAAGATGCTCTACTATATGCGCAATGCTTGTAGTTTAAATCAGGCATTTTACAATTACTTTTTATGAACTCAACCAAGCTTTTACTTGTCAAGAATTATTTTCTCCTTAAACACCTTTTTGTATGCATCTTCAGGTATCTAGGTATCTTTATCATATTTAAGAAAACATAGATATGTAAAGTATTACTTAGAAACTTTCAGGAAATTAAAACAGACATTTGAATAGAAGTAACTGAAAATTATTGTATGTGTATTGACACATTGGCACAATTACACTATGGATGTTCCAGTACTCGAGCCCATCAGACTAGGCACTTTTAAGACTTACCCTCCTTTCAGTTTGACCTACAGATTTACTAATGGGACTCTACAGCAGAAGATAAATGCAGATTGTGAATCTGCCTATTGTCAGCACAACGTTGGGAAAGATTTTGCCAAATGATGTTCTGCTTTACCCTTTTCCACAGAGGTCAACTATATGCACGTTTGCATTCCAACCACCTATCAACTACGTTACAAAGAGAATTTTGTGTGTTTTTAAAACACTGACAACAGTAATGTTTTGCCAAGTGTTGCAATATGTTTAGGTGCACAGATTT